TACTCCTTTCCACTAATAGTTCACATACGTAGACATTTGTTACACAAAATCGCACCACTTTTATATATCAAAATTATCTAAGATCAAAATCCACTTCAAACTAATAGGAAATACCATAGATAAATAAATATATATAGCAAGCTAACAAGCGGTGGTGCCAAGTTAGGTGTTTTTTTGCCTTTTCGGCTATGTGGAAGGGTGTTGCGGTGACTAAACATTGCTATTGGGGACTTGTCGCAATTTATGCTACTTCAGAAAATAACAAGGGCGACATTAATTAATCTCTCTCTCTCTCTTTTTAAATATGTCCCTTTTGTCATAAATAATCGCTACCGCTACCTATATTACCGCTACTATATTTAATTGTTGGTTGATTTTTTGTTTGTTTTACAGATTGTGCAACAAGGTGCAATTCCTATAACGTACCCGAGCTTTCTTGCTATTTTAATAACGAATATGACGGCGGCACCTGCACCGTTGTAGATGCGGTGGCGTTGGTCTAGCTAGACAGAATTCTTGTAAACGACACGTGTACCGCACACCTGCGGCATTGCACCTGTGCGGCCGCCCGTCCTGCTTGTATAAAACGGACTGAGCGGCCGCAGTTAAGACAGTCTTGGCCAACAATTACTATACTCTTTGGTCTTGGCTCTGATGTGGAACGGTGCGCTTGTCGTATTCCGTTACTAGTTTATCCTCGACTCGTTGGATAATTAACGTGTAAACGAGTTAATTATTATTCTTAACTACAAAATTAGTCTCTGTACAATATTAAATTATCCTTCTACATCAGAAGTGGGATGAAGTCTCCATTTTTGCCCACATTTAATCTTCGAATAGTATGAGAATTATTATATTTGTAAAGGCTATATGCAAGAGAGATCCATCAAGGCTAATGCATTTCGCATTGATGGATCTCTTTTTATGTTAAATACCGTAATAAAATTTGCTGTCCTACTTACGATATTGTCGTATCATTAAAGTCTAGAGAAAAGATAAAGTGAAATTATTTAAGCCAAAAGATAAATCCTTTTGTTCGATTTGTATTTAAAGTACCCTCAAGTATTTTCATTATTTCTGACGTACCTAAATATGTTAACAAATGAAAGAAATATTGGAGATATTCTGAATGAGTTATAGTTTGCATTCAGTGGAAGTTTAACTTGCTCAAGTAATGTTATAATTTGATACACGAGGTGTGATTTACATGGCCTAGTTTTAAAGTTCAAAATGTTTAAACGATGTACCGAAAAAAAGAACATGATTACTTTAACGTGCTATGACTTAAAACACTAAGTAGTATTTTTGTGATCTAATGTGATGATAAGTGTTACAGTTTACTCCGAGCATTACGTAGTCGACAAACTTGGAATGGTTTAGTGGAAAGCGTGGAGCTGTAGCGCTCGCTTTTGAGTATGCTGTCGGCTTATGACGCCGCGGACTTATTATTTGTCGCTGCTACTGATCACCATTAGATACATGAGGAAAGTAAATTTATCCTAAACATTGGCTCAGAAACTATTTTGTAAGAATGAGTGTTTACATTTTTAATTGGTTGCGAAAAATGCCGGAAAACCGAAGTATAACTGATGAAAGTGAAGTAGAGCCAATTGGTTCCGACATTGAAGAGAGTATTTAAGTTTACATGAGGATCGTCGTTCGTTGTCGTGTAGCCGCAGCTCAGTATTTGGTGCCCTAGAAGGCGAATGGTGTACCAAGAGTAGTGCTGCATTTCTTGAAATAAAGTTCCGACTGAGTATTTTTAATGTTTTCTTTTATGTGTTACAGTAGCACGTGTGATGTGATTACAAGTGCGTGAGTGTGTGCCTTGCTGGTCGTAACAGACTGCCAGGTCCAGCTGTAACATGGCCTGGTTTCGGCAGATGCGTATGCGCGTATACGCAGGCGCCATCCTGGAGCGCGCGTATGCTGTACATGGCGATGCCTCGGAAGTCGTGAACTTTGTATGCGTGGGAGTCACACTGTGTGCGCGGAAGTCGTATGCTGTATGCACGGTAATTTTTTCTGAACATGTATTAGGCTCTGTCCTGGCAGGCGCTGTCCTGGTTCACGTTTTTAATGTGGTTCACGTAGTTAACGTGGGATCTCGCAAGTTCAAGTAAGAGTATGTGTCAGATACTTCGTATGAAGACCTATGTTTACTTGTGAAAGCGAGGTGCTTTATTATAGTCCAAGGTATGAGAACGTATTTCTGTTTTAGGGCCTCGTATGTGTGATAGATGAGAGAACAGGCAACTGTGTATGTTGTCCTTACAGTTAACAATTTGTTTTTCACGTAGATCATGATGACTACAACCCTGACGATGCTTGTAAACCCTCAGGTGTTCCTGCTGCTCCCGTTTTGTTGTAATTTGATAGTTCACGCGAAACATGATTATCATTTGCTATATTTTGAAGTTCAAAACTTTTAAGGGTTGTACTACAATAAAGGATTAACTTTAACACGCTATGAATTAAAAATAATAAATGACATTTTTGTGTTCTAATGTGTTGATCAGTGTTGCAGTTTGCTCCGAATACTGTGTGGTCGACAAGATTGGGGTTTGATGTCGAGAGATTCGTAGAAGTCTCTAAAACAATGATCAATGAGGAAGATGTTGTGACGGCTAATCGAACATGGTCAGGTACAGCCGAGCGCTAATAAGATTGAGCCTACATCTTATCGGCAGATCTTACGGCAAGACAATTCAAGCGGCCGCCGAACACATCGTCCTTTGGTGCTGGAAATGAACGTCTGAGGCTTGGTCGGCTTTCGTAGATTTTGCGCAGTTGCCTCCTTCCCTTTGAAATATGTGATGGTATCCGTCTCTACACATAGTTTCCGTTTTTTGCAATATTTTCAAATGTCATACAGTTGCCGTTTCTTAAGAGAATGTGTGATGAATTTTGGATGCTCGGAATTCCATGGTTCGCAATACATTTATCTCGACTTCTTTTAATTTTGCAAAGCAGTGCGACGATTCGCTAGCGCTAGTACGGCGCGACTGCTTGCTGGCACGAATGTGGCACGAACGCAGCAGAACGAAAAGCTGTAGTGCGTTTGCCTGGAGGTATCCATATCGGCGCGTTCCAGACTTAAATGAAGTCTGGAATGGTCGACCGTTGTGATATTTAACAAAAGTTAATATCTGTTAGCAGGTGGTGATAACTGATAGACCGTATGCTGTTCACTGTCAACCGCACGAGGACGTGCGACAGTCAGAGGTAGCCGTGTCTGTACATCTAGAAAATATTAGGGACGTTGCAACACTCTAGCAAAGTAATCATTCTAGTGCAGGAAAGGAACATGAAGTTGCAGGGAGGCTGGTTTGTGCTGCACTGGGATATGATTGGTGTTGCTGTTGGTTTACATACTTAGGTGTTATCGTGTCACTACATCCCTCACGATACACTTTTGTGTGATTGTGACGGGGACATGTTTGCGGTATGGTTGGTCTGTAACTGTTCTATACTGAATTGAAAAAAAAAAGAGACTAAGAAAAAAAATGTGGTTCTTACTATCATTGCAGGGCGTTTACCGATCCAATGATATAGCTAAAGGGAATAGTGATTCCGGACTAGCATAAATAGTACTTGAAAAAAAAAAAGCGTAAGAAAAAAATAGATCTTACTATCATTGCAGGGCTTTGTGCCGGTCCAATGATATGGCTATAGGGAATAGTTATTCCGGACTAGCGAAAACAGTACTTGAAAAAAAAAAAGAGAAAATAGAAAAAGCTACAGACTAATCATTCCGATCTAACATAAAGATGATTAAAGTTTTGTAGGGCTTATTGCCGGAACAAAACTGACTGTCACCCGAGTCTGAAGGGTCAATATAGACCAGACCAGACGCTGTTTTGTCAGGATAATCGAACGATGTTTTACAGATTACAGTTGTTACAGATAACTAAAATTGTGATGGAGCGCGTGCGAGGACGCACGCATGTCAGTATGGCCGTGACGGCGGCACCTGCACCGTTGTAGATGCGGTGGCGTTGGTCTAGCTAGACAGAATTCTTGTAAACGACACGTGTACCGCACACCTGTGGCATTGCACCTGTGCGGCCGCCCGTCCTGCTTGTATAAAACGGACTGAGCGGCCGCAGTTAAGACAGTCTTGGCTCTGATGTGGAACGGTGCGCTTGTCGTATTCCGTTACTAGTTTATCCTCGACTCGTTGGATAATTAATTCGTGTAAACGAGTTAATTATTATTCTTAACTACAAAATTAGTCTCTGTACAATATTAAATTATCCTTCTACAAATACATTATGTTCTTCTACTTCGTTTATCTCTTTAGTTGTAAGTAAAACATTTCCGTTCAATTTACATTACAGGGGATTCATTTACGGACATTACAGGCGATTTCAGGCTACTTTACAGAAAAAAAATTAGGAGAATTTAAGCTACTTGGCGACTCTTACCGGTCTAGACTTGGCAACACTGCTAAAAAGTACAGTTGCCAACCTTATGGATTTTTCCATAGATCTACGGATTTATTCATCGTCTACGGAACTACGGCATTTGAATTGAAATCAAAATATCAAAATAAATTAATGCTTGATTCGATATTATACTACAATTAAAGTTACAACAAGAATTTTACATGAAAGAAACGTTTTCCCGAAAAAAATGATCTATTCTAAGACAAAAACAAAAATTTTCGATCCTGTTAAGATGTCTCCAGATCTACGGCTGTTTTGAAATGGCATCTACGGAATTCTATGGAAATTTTTATACCAATCTACGGATTTGGAAAAATTCGAGTTGGTAACACTGCGCAGTTTACCTTGAACAGGTACTTATATTTATTTATAGTTATCTATGGCTCAATCTAGGTCATTGTACTAGCGTCGTTCGTTGAGTTTTTCAAAATGTAAAAATAAACAACTATGTAGAATAAGAAATATTTCATTAATATGCAATATTAAACAATTGTTCTCTTGGGCATTAAAATTGTGATATAGATTTTATAAACTTTGCAAAAGAGAAAAGAAATGACAAAAACATTCCAAAAGTGTAGGCTTTGCTTAAAACTAGGAGAATTCTGTTCAATTTTTGAAGATGATGGTGCTATCAAGTTATCAGATATGGTTATGGCTTTTGCTAATGTTCAAGTATGTGTTTGTTTATTCTCTTTACTCTTTATTTAAGCTATGATACAATGCATTATTTACGTTTATAAAACTAACTGGGCTGCAGTGTGCAGTACAGTAAGCGTAAGACTTGCGACGAACTACGCGCCAACATGTATGAAACTTGGTCTAATTTACAACAGTGTTAAAACCCATGCCATGTGAAAGCTATTGAAGAAAATTTTGTTTTATACTTTGACTCGAAAAATAAGTTGAAATTCACCGCGGACAAGGTGTTTTGTACCAAAGAAATTATGTTCAATTTCGAGTTTGTGAGTATATTGGTTTTAAAAGATAAATACAGCGAATGAAGTGCCCAATACAATTAGGTGCATGACAGCTAAGATGTCATTAGAATTAGGGAGGGAACACCATAACGGTGATTGAAATCATATAGTATGTACTAAGTACATATTAGTTACATGTATGTTAATACTATTACTTATTTAGTACTATTGGTTTATAGAAAATAATAATATTAGTTTATAATGTTATAATAAATATACTATAACAACACAACAAAAAACATGCAACAACAAACTAAAAAAGGAAAACTTCAAAGCACTAATTATGTACATATTATCACTTCTAAGAGCGAGTAAATACTACATAAAAAACATACATACATACGGGGATAGAGACGGGGTCTGGGCGCCAAAACCGCATTCCTGTCATGCGCCTAATTGTTTTGGCCAAGTAGTACATATATTGGAAATTCATCCAGACTGCAGACCCAAATACTATATTATTATAAAGATAACATGTACTATATTATTTTCCTAATATAAACTATGTTGTTTTCCCAATAAATGTCAATTGTATAATTAAGGCCATCACTATGTAAATGAGAGCTAGCATACAATCATGCAAGTTCGAGCTGATAAAAACCAAGGGAAAATAAGAACCAAATCATCCTTGGATAAAAAGGGAAAGCCTTGTTATTAAAGCTAATTGGCTCCATCATTTCAAATACAACTCCGTCTTTTTCTTAGTACTTATAAAAATAAAAGTTTCAGAGAATTGATCTTAGCATTATTCACTCAAACTTAATACTCAAGGATGAATGTGTTAATTTGTGTTCTCTTCGTAAGATGTGTGAGGGTGGGCCAGGAGATGGGAGGAAGAGTTAAATCGGGAGTAAAGGACTCGCTACCCTGGAAAATACATGTGTTCACATTTATCAATGTTATTATAAGAAAGTGCACAGTATGAAAAAAACATCTGTGCAGTACATTAGCGGTAGTAGTTAAGGTGGCACAAGTTGTGGGCTCGAACTCACTGACTAATTTACCTAACTAACTATTTTTCTGTGTATTAGGAATAATTTATTTTGAGCTATAATGGCAATAATTACAAACTGCAGACGTAAAAGGAAACCTGCATGTCTGAGAATATAATTAAAATCGAATATAAATCAAATAGATATAAGTACAGATAAAATTAGCGGAACATTAATAAAATTTTGAGGTTTTTTTTTCAAAATTTTATTCATATTCCGCTATTTTTGTCTGTGCTTATGTCAATTTGATTGACATTCGATCTCTAAATTGTAGTTTGCGAGGGTAACGGGGATCTATCAGCTCTGGCAAAACATATTTCTGATAAAAGTTATCTAATTTTAAAATTTTGTCTGTCCTCCAGAACGCATCATCTCTTTCAATTATATCAATTTCCATGCCATTTGGTGTCCAAATAACAAAATAGCAAAACTTTTCGTTTCGAATAAAACTCGAATAAGCGCGCGTTACCGTGTGTGCATGAGAGTGTGAGTGTGTTTGAGCGTCGTCCTCCCGCACCGCACTAGGGGAAACATTATTCAGTGAGATGCACAATAATTCATAGTAAAACGCGCGCGTAAAAGAATACAAAAAGGCCTTTGGAAAATCGAGTTTTCTGAAGAAAACCACTGCATAAATCAATTACAAATAAAATTTATTGAATTCTTCGATAATTGAGCTTTGTTGGTACACCGACTTTGTTTTGGAAATTTTACACTTCTTTTATTTATATGTAAATAATGTTGAAGGACCACGTGGTCCTTCACTGCTGGCCGGATGAGGAAGCTCAAGGTCGCTCAGCGAGCTATGGAGAGGGCTATGCTCGGAGTTTCTCTGCGTGATAAACTCAGAAATGAGGATATCCGCAGTAGAACCAGAGTGACCGACATAGCCCAACGGATTAGTAAGCTGAAGTGGCAATGGGCCGGCCATATAGCTCGAAGAACCGACAACCGATGGGGAAGAAAGGTTCTCGAGTGGCAGCCTCGTACCGGCAGGCGAAGTGTAGGGCGTCCCCCCACTAGATGGAGTGACGACCTGGTAAGATTTGCAGGAAGTCGATGGATGCAGGTGGCTCAGGACCGTGCTTTGTGGCATTCTTTGGGGGAGGCCTATGTTCAGCAGTGGACTTGTGAAGGGCTGTAATGAAATAATGTTGACTAGTATCACTCTTGCCCACAAGAAGGTTTTAACACGCCCCGGTTTATTTGCCGGCGCCGGTTAGAAACCATCCGAGCTTGCACACAAGACTGTTTGTGCACGACCCGGTTTCATGAAGGTGCAACCTTCATTCGCTCTTTTTATTCTGTGAATTGTGCACGTACAAAATGTTGAGTGTTAAAAAGAGAAAATGTATTACTGCATGTATAAAAAGCTAAAATAAGACGATAAAAACATATTGATGGATATTGGGTACATCCCATGTTAACAGAAAGAGATGATTATGGTGCATTTCATACGCTCATTCAGATGCAACTTATGAAACGACGAGAAATTTGACTCCATATTTAATACAGTAAAACTCGCTTAAGACGATTTTGTAGGGACCCAGCCAAAATCGCGACTTAAGTGGGAAAGTGTATTATGCGAGATATGGAAAATAAAACTTAACATCATTAACAATTTTTTGTAGGTATTTAATTATAGGTATATTTATAAATTTGTTAGAAAGCTATAATATTATACATAATATATATATGTATTTAAATATGTTACATCATAGTTAATTATTATTTATAATGACATCACTTTTCCCGGAAGCGAAAAGCAAGTTGCAACAATAGATATATAGCGCCTTAAACCGTTTACTGCTCATAAAGCCTCTGCATTTGACAGTCGGAATTTACGCTCCTTCATCTTCATCATCATCATGTAGGACCTCTTTTTGGGTGTTATTCACATCTTCAAAAAAGATCTTCGATTGAATGGATTTCGTACGGTGCAACATTGTCATCAATGGAAGAATATCCAAGAAAACCCTGCAGTATCGCGGTTTCTTCTTCCAACACGACGTCAGCTTTATTACTTCGGAAACCTGTTTTCTTGAATCAATTTTGTATTTCAGGCTTAATTGCTTGCCATGCCGCTGCAATTTTTAAGATCAGATCATGCACAGTAAAGGGTCGTTTGCTGTCAGGGTATTCCATTTCTTTACGATAGCGATGTATCAATCGTGTTCTGTAGCTTTGTTTAAGGACTTTTATAATGCCCTGATCCATCGGTTGCAACTTGCTTGTCGCATTCGGAGGTCAGAAAACAAGCTTGATGTTCTTTAGCCGGGGCAGTTATCAATGAAGAGAATTATGCGTGCTACTCGGCTTGGCTCGGCTGTTCCACAGATGGCGTATTACATGGGATGACGATCGTATTAAGCGAGTTAAAAATGTATGAAAACATGCCTCAAGTTGCAGGGACTGATATAAAATGGCGTATTATGCGAGAAATCGTATTAAACGTGATCGTATTAAGCGAGTTTTACTGTATTTATAACATTGCGTTGCGCGTAGGTAGTCGGCACGCGCCGGGCGTAGATCCGGTCTCGTGTACATGCGCTCCCATACTCCACTAGACCACTGCGCACCGGGCGTAGACGCGGCGAGCACCGTGCCCGGTTGTGCGGTGAGCCGGCGCTAGCGCCGGCGTCGTGTGTTTGGCCTCATAGTGTCCCATACAATACTAATGACCGGACGTAGACCCAGTTTGACGGCGGGCTTAGCTCCGGCGAAATGAAATGAAAGAAATAAAAATATTTCACGACAAATACGAGGGCTGCACTAAAAGTATCGGGAATGGAATATTTCCACTGTTCCTGTCATATTAAAATCTTTTTAATTGAAAACTCCTTGGTTTTTTAAAATTGTATACCATTTATTTATTTAAAAAAAGATTCTCGGTCTTGTCACAAGGTTTTGTCAAACTTGTTTAGTCGTTGAGAAAATGGAATTGACTCGAGAAAATTCAAGAGCGATGATTTATTATGATTTTCGAAGTGGTTTAACACAAAAACAGTGTGTTGACCGGATGATTTCTGCATTTGGTGATGAAGCCCCATCCAAAACCACAATTTATCGCTGGTTTGCTGAATTTCAACGTGGACGTGTCAAGCTCAGTGATGATCCTCGTCAAGGTCGTCCAAAAACTGCAGTCACCCAAGAAAACGTTGATGCTGTGCGTAAGTTAATTGAGGAAGATCGACATGTGACATACCGCGAAATTCAGGCAACTTTAGACATTGGCATGAGTTAAATACAAATAATCTTGCATGAACAATTAGGTGTAAAAAAGTTGTTTTCCCGATGGATACCGCATTCGCTCTGTGAAGAGCAAAAAGCGGCTCGCGTTACTTGGTGCGTCAGAACTCGAAAGATTCCACGCAGGATCCTCAAATGCTGAATACAACATCGTATCAGGTGACGAATCCTGGATATACGCGTACGAACCCGAAACAAAAAACCAGTCACGAGTTTGGGTGTTCGAAAATGAGTTAAAGCCAACAAAAATTGTTCGTTCACGGAGTGTTGCAAAAAAAATGGTGGCCACGTTTGTCTCCCAAACCGGCCATGTTACGACTATTCCTCTTGAGGGACAAAGAACGGTTAATGCAGAATGGTATGCTAGCATTTGTTTGCCACAGGTCGTTTCTGAACTCCGTAAAGAGAACTGCAACCGCCGCATCATCCTCCATCACGACAATGCGAGTTCTCA